AGCTATCAGGGTTCCCTGCCCTGTGGGAAGTCCAAGGACCACCCACCTCCATCTAGGTCTAGTAAGGTGAGCATCCAAACTGCCTAGGCTCCCACAAAGCCAGTACATGCAGTAGGATCAAAAACCCATCAGCAAGTTCTTTTAAATAAAGGTAAATTTAGTTAGTAAATAGTATGGTAGCTTGAGTATTTACATTCAAACCCACTTGGTGAGTTTCTCTTTCAGCTTGGAGCCTGTGGGTAAGCCTTCCTCAGAGAGGGACACTGAGTAGCTCTAGAACAAACAGGCACTGGTTTTTACATATAAAATGGACTGACCAAGCACCTGCAGCCTTTTGGAGAGAAACTTGTTGCTTGCTGTTGCTAAACTGATAAAGTGAAGGCCAGCCATCAACACGATCAGAGACCTGAGAAGGGTAAATTTGAGCAGAAAATGTAATCCAAATGGCCTCTGTATCCGTGAAAGTGACAGACTAAGCCTCTACCTAGATGGTTACTGTATGCTTCTCTGTGGTCATCTTGATGGTTTTCTTGTGAGCAGAGGTTGTCTTCGGCTGACCCACAAGGCCTGAGGTTTTCCTGTAGATCAATGTGGGAAAACTACCCTGCCTTGATAAGACAGGGTACGGGCAGTCAAACCTAATGTGTTCACAGTTGTCGCAGGGCCCTGGCAGCAGGCAAGGCATGGAGCACTTCTTCACTGTGACCAGCTTTGTCCCATTTAAAGCAGGTTCCCAGTGGAGTTCATTTGTACCCCCATCGTCTTCGCTGGAGGTAACCTTAGGAGCTGGCATTTCTGTCTATCGAGGGAAGCTTTTTTCATTGAATATTTTAAATTCTTGAAGGAGTTTGAGGGCCATCATGTAATCTATTAAGTATGCCTGATTTTTAAATAAATTTAGTTTTGACTTACTTTTGAAGTAACTAAACACCATATGTTATACCAGTGGTTCTCGGCCTGAGGGTCATTGCCACTCTGGGGGCACATATCAAATATCCTGCATATCAGATATTTACATCACCATTCATAACAGAAGCAAAATTAGAGTTATGAAGTAGCAACAAAAATAACCCTATGGGGCTGGAGAGATGGCTCAGCGGTTAAGAGCATTGCCTGCTCTTCCAAAGGTCCTGAGTTCAATTCCCAGCAACCACATGGTGGCTCAGCCATCTGTAATGAGGTCTGGTGCCCTCTTCTGGCCTTTGGGCATACATGCAGAAAGAATATTGTATATATAATAAATAAATAAACAAATAAATACTTTAAAAAAATAACTTTATGGTTGGAGATCACCACAAATGAACAATGTTAAGGGTCGCAGCAATGTTAAAGTTGAGAACCACTGGCATCTACAGAAGGCAAAAGGCACATGAATCCCATTTGTATTTCACGTGACTACAAGGATAGTGGTCCTTGAGCACATATCTCAATTATCTTCAACAGTTTACAACAAGCTTGTAACTTAGAAAATTAAGACTTTATAGTTTTATCCCTGTTAAGTTTGGGTCTTAAAAATTTGAGATTTAATTGACGATCCTTTAGCATCAAAATAAAGCTTTAAACACCAAATAGAGTCCACAGAGAAACCGAGAACTTAAAAACCCATAAATACATGTCGATTGCGTTTGGGTGGGTTACTCAGTCTAGGGGTTTGTAACCCACCCTGCAATCAGTTATTCCAGGGTCTCGGAGGGGCGCTACCTGGAAGGGAATGAGCTAAGACAGAAGAAGGAGGCCAAGCAGATTTGTCAAAGCCTCTGTTTATTAGGGACGGGTTACAGTTTATATATGGTAAGGAATGGGGGGCAGGGCACAGGATCTCGCCGCGTGGTCCCTCCCAGTCAGGTAGGCCAGGAAGTCACAAGTTGCCACACCTGGTTCCCTGGATAGCTGGAATGTGAGGCAGGTTCTGTTAACAGATAGCTGCTAATTGGGTGAGGGGCAGGTTTTCTCAATAGAACATAATTATGGGTGTGAGGTTCTCTGCAGACTCCCCAGGGTGATGGTTTCTGTAATGATTTTTAGAGGGGAAATGGCTCCTGACAAATACAGTCCACAGAGAGACTGGAAACATTTATTTCCTGACCCTTTTACTGTGTACCTTTATAGAATATCACAATTTTTTGTATAACTCAATTTATTCAAATAGCTAAAGCTTAACAAAGTTAGCAAAGAAAAAGAAGCTATGTTGTTTCTTATCTGAAAGTTTCCAGAAGCCTGGTGTTAAACACAGCAAAGACATAAATGGCTAGATCCCCATCTCTAAGTCAGTTTTTGTTTACGTACAGAGACATAACTGTAGGCATTTATAAACCTTCATTGAGCATACCTTATTCATCAAACATGCTGTTTCTTTTCTAAAATTTTTGCTCTCAAGACAAAATCGTACAAAAATCCATCATAATCCATAATACCTTGGAGACCTGCTGTTGCCTCCTTATTCTAAAAAGAGATACACTGAGAAGCAGAGGGCTCAGTTTTGTTTTGTTTGTTTGTTTGGTTGGTTGGTTGGCTGGTTGGTTTTTTCCGAGGTAGGATTTCTCTGTGTAGCTTTGGAGCCTGTCCAGGAACTTGCTATGTAGACCAGGCTGACCTTGAACTCATAGAGATCCACCTGCTTCTGGGATTAAAAGCATGCACCACCACCTTAGAAATCTAGTGTACAATCTTTGGCCGTGGAGCTCTACCGAGAACAAGCTGTTTGCAATGACAGTGAGGCTTTAATGAAACCTCTGAGTCCAAGGAGCCCAAGGATTAGAGAAGGAAGGGAGGGTAGCAAACAGGAACCCCACCCGTGGGGGAAGGTTCAGCATCCTAGAGGACCAGGAGGGCATGGAGAAGCTACCAGGTGTACCTGCAGGAAGGACTTAAATGGAAGTGTAACAATGGGCTCACAATCACGGAATCTACGGGTCTTCCCATGCTCCTCAGCATCCTGAAACAGCTGGCCTGAAAGGTAGAATGCTTTTGAAGACAGTTCCACCGCCAATGAGGTTGCAGCAGCCTATAGGGCTGACTGGGGGTTTTCGAGTGGATAGGTGGTATATATTTTGAATCAGCATCAAATATATATGTTAAGGTTTCGCCCATGGGTCCAGGAATCAAGGGACAGAAAGGGGAATGGTTCCACTCACTATCACTGTAGTGATCTACTAGGGAAGTTTTTGCTTTCTATTCCCACAACCTTAAATTTTGGTCTAGAAGTTTTGGTTCCAAAGTAGGGCACACTCCTTCCATGAGCAACAGCAAATATTCCATTGAACTGGAAGCTCAGACTTGCCCCTGGCCACTGTGGGCTTCTGATGTCCTTAAGCCAACCAGCTAAGAAAGGAATAACAGTGTTCAGAGGGATGATTGATTAAGTTCCCATGAGGGAATTGAATTCCTTTTCCACAATGGAGGTAAGAAGGATTATGTCCTGAGTGCAGGAGATCCTTAGGGTGTCTCTTGATCCTGTGGTTGAAATCAACAGAAAACTATAACAGCCTGATCCACGCAGGATGACAAAGGGCACAGACCGATCAGGGATGATGGTATGGGTTACTCCAGGAAAAGACCCGAGACCTGCGGAAGTGCTTGTAGAGGGTGGAGGAAATACAGAATGCGTAGTAGAGGAAGGCAGTTCTAAATACCAGCTACGGTCATGTGATCAGTTGCAGAAACGAAGATTATAATTGACGTGAATGTTCCTGTCATATTTAGAATATTATATAACATATGTATAACTAACATATATATTAGAATATAACCCATGTATACATACTCATATATATTATATATTCACATATATTCATTCTAGAGCACCCTAATACAAGGTTGCACCTATAATTACTGAGACATCTACCTTGGCTATAGTTTTAATGCTCTGAAAAGCTTGACTAAGTTGGCACACACTCCCGACAATGAATCCACAGGTTCACAAGCCTGTCTAGCCTCTTGCCTGCATTGTGGCAGAACCTGTGATTTACTTCAAGCCAGACAAAGAGGGCAAAGGTGTTAGGACGCAGTCCTCTGTGTGTCCATGCCACATAACTCTGGCTTGATAGGGATTCGCTGTCGCGGGAAGGGGATTTTCCTGCTTGCTTTGGGCAGGCTGCTGTGTTTTAAGGGAACTTAAAGAGTATAGCCTGGAGAGGAACCGTGGGAGACTTTGACAAACCCATGGAAGTGACCAGCCGATAGCCAGCAGGAAATAGGAGCCCCAGACACTACACTGCCAGCAAACAGGTGTCCCTGGAAGATAGGCCCACATCCAGTAAAGAGCACAGTCCTCCCTGACAATGACCCTCGGTGTGTGAACAGCCAAATCATGCCGCATTGTCAAGGTTGCAAACAGCTAGATCTTGTCAGCAACAGGAAACTTGACCATTGGCTACCGTGCACCAGAAGATATTTCCCTACGAGTATGTTTTTTTTTTTTTTTCTATCTGAGCTCAGTTGTTTCTTTCCAATCTAAAAATACATCCACGCTATGACAATGACTATGTTCTCATGTGGCCACTTACACTTTGGTGTGGGAGATTTCCAGTGTGGATTTTCAAACTCTCTTCCTGCTGCCCTGCAAAGTAGATGCTGACGGTAGAATCTGCGTTTAACAAGACTCCAGTGCCAGCTGCCGCCACCTAATGCCTAACCAGCATTCTGCAATGGGGGGGGGGGGCAGAGCTCATTCCCGATGCCTAGTGAGAACAGCACAGGACAGAGGCAACAGTTCCCACCGCCACCCATTTGCCCACCCCCTTCAATGCTGCGTTAGTAACCTGAACCAGTGTGCCCAGAGGCACATGGGAGGTCACAGGCAGTGCTCCAGAAAGGTGTTATGGGGCTGGAAAGACAGTGCAGCAGTTAAGAGCACTGGCTGCTCTTTGAGAGGATCTGGAAAGTTCTATTCCCAGCAGCCACGTGGTGGCTGACAGCATCTATGACTCCAGTTCCAGGGGGTCCGACCCCCTCTCTTCTGGACTTTCCCAGCACCAGGCACCCATGTTGGTACACTTACATAGACGTCACAAAAGTCACACACAGAAAAAAAAAATTTAATCTTTTTTTTTACAAGAAGGTGTTGTTATATTTCACTTAATAAAAAACAAAGCACTTTTTTTTTTTTAAAGAAGAGCAAGTTCTTAAAATCTGGTAAGATAACAAATACATTGCAGCCAGACAGCTATTCATTGTCACTCCGCATAAAACCTGAGAAGTATAAGCCTTTCACCAAAGGATGGCCCGTTCTGTCCCTCATCCCTGACTCCCCAGGCCATCACCCTACTTCTCATCTTTATTTTGGTTTCCAGGTACTTCAATCCCCAGGAGTAGTCCTGGAGAGGGGGACACAAGATCTCCAGTCACCAAAGAAGATAGTGACTCATTTGTAAACTAAATTTTTAACCTGGTTTACAGTACAAATGTGATTAACACCCCAACCCAGTGGGAGTCAAATCCTAAAACAGCCAGGCCCAGCCCCAGGCTCTGTTACTGAGGGAGGCTATGGGCACCAAAGGACCCACGCACACCACTTCTGCTAATGTAGTAACTCCAAAATAGTTTCTATGATTGAACCTAAGACACAGGGAACTTGGCTCAGTGGTGGAGCACTTGCTTAGCAAGGGCATGGCCCTGTGTTCGTTCAGTCACCCGCACTGGAAAAAAAGTAAAAGCTAAAAGAAAAAAATAATTACATAAAATTAAAAGAATGTCTCCAGATCCTCTCTGAACACGATATAGATTCATATATAAAAATAACCTCTCTCTTTTAAAGTGTCAGCAAAAATACCATAATCTCTGAAATGCTGTACTGCATGGAACATGATACTGTGATTGGGGAAAAAATGTTTTTAAGTGCACGGGAAACAAGAACAGAAATTACTAGAATTCTTAAGTGCCGGTCCTTCAGCCTGATGGAAAGGAGCGTGTTGGCGATCAGTGGCTGCAGCAGCTATCAAAGGGCTTGCTAAACTGTGCCTTCACAAGCCTGGCGAGTTCAGAGGCTGACCAGCCTTGCGGTTTCACATTCCACCCGAAATGAATGGGCTACTTTAGCAAAAATATTGCACAACTTTAAAGCTCACGCAGATCACCGTGCATGGTGACCCATGCCTCTAGGACAAAATTCAGGAGGCAGAGACCTGGGCTAGTTAGTAAATTCCAGGCCGGCCTGGACTGTAAAGTAAGACTCAAGAAACAAAGTAAACCCAAACCCTAAAATTTCAAAATAATCTCATTTGCATTTCTAGAATCACAGGAGACCAAAAAATGCCAGACTCGTGTCAAAGCTCAACGTGAAGTCAGGGAGGAAGCTAGATATTGATCTAGAAACCATGGCCTGCTGTGTTCTCACAGCCTCCTGAATTTTGTCCTAGAGAAAACTATCTCTGTTTCCAAAGTTTGGCTCTTTCCGTGACCGTTCTCCAAAAGCCCCGGTATGATCGTTTGCTCAGCCCAGTAGCTCCACTGTCCTACCGTGTAACTAACTACTGGCCCGCTACCCGGCTCTACACACGGAAATGACTTCTGAGTGGTGGAGGCCAGGAAACGGTCTCCTGGCAAGAGCCATGGTGTACAGAGGGCTCTTGAGGCGCCTACGGCAAGCACTTCAAATCTTTCAGCGCTTGCTGTGAACGCACACAAACTTCCATCGCCAAAGCCCTGCTCTGAGCGGTGCCCTCAGGAGTGGTTGTTACGCGATGAAGCCGATGAAGCCGTTCAGTAAGTCATCTCTGTCAGTCCCTCTTGTCCTGGTGACGCACAAGAGAACTGCTACTGTTGACTGAAAAGTACCCATCTGAGAGGTACTGACCAGAAGCCTCAGGGGTGGGCTCCATCAGGACCTCTCTAGATGGGTCCCTTAGAGGCTCCTGCATTGGGTCACTCGTTTCAACCACTTCAAAATCCATTTCATTCCATTTTTCTGCATCTTCTTCTTCATTCTCTTCGTCACAGTCATTGAGCTCAGAGCTGGAAAGCAAAGCTCTCTGGTCTTCACTCTTCCTTCCTTTGCGCTGGCGTTCCAGGGGTAAGGTGGCTAGTTTATACATCACGGGAAAAAGAACTCCCGTGAAGATGGCTGACCCCAGACCCGTGTACAGAACCACTGGCAGGTCTGGGTAGTGTCCCTGAAGAATTCCGATGACTGCAGGAATCGCCATTTCCCCCAGAGCAGCACCAACTACAAAGAATGCTGCAGACTTCCCAGTTAAGGTGGTGTACTGCTCCATCCAGGAAATGCCACTGGGAAATGTGGCTGCCATCGAGGCTCCATACACAGCAGTCGCGATCCAGAGGCAGAGAGGACTCTTGTCAAAAAGCACCAGAAACAAAGATGAAGCAAGGCTGCCAATGTTGCACAACACAATCATGGTTCCAGGCTGTAAGAATGTGGCAAAGAAGATGGCCAGGCCCCTGCAGGCTGCGAAGGCCCCCCAGAAGACGGAGTTCAAGCCGGCTGCTTCATTTTCTTTCATGCCAACATGGGTGGTGGCTAAGGAGAATACATAAGAGCCGTAGGTCACCTCGGCTCCAACATAAAAGAAGAAGAAGATGAAGAGAAGGCAGAGCAGGGCCCTGTGATACTTGGCTCTTCGAGCTTCCTGGGCAGATATTATGGCTTTTTCCTGCTTTGAGCGTTTCTTACAAAACAGACCAAACAGAAAGACAGAAACTACTAAGACATAGGTGCCGATGGAAGCGTAAGTCAACAGCAGATTCATGTCCTCGGGTACCGCAAACAGAGAGTCTGGACTGGATTCAGAGGATCGGTTCAGCATTAGAAGGTCAAAGTCAGACTCTGTGTGGTTCTGAGTGGATTCTGAGGTACTCCAGGCCAACTTAGCCAGCAGGGGAGCCAGGAAGGCACCCAAGGCGAAGCTGAAGTGCAAGGCCTGCATGTGTGGGGCTCCTTTGTCTCCCCAAAGATCCAAGATGAGGACTTTCCCACCTGCCAACAAAAGAAATTCTCTAAATTAACAGTTAATAACACTACATCGCTATTTAAAAAACGGGGGGGGGGGCATTGGTCCCACCCAGAGTCAACGTGCTGATACAAAGCCTGCAGTAAGGCAAAGCAATGTTTGAGAGCTCTGACCCCCTCTCACCAGCAGATGTATCACAGCATCTCTTCCTAACACACAGAATCCAGAATCTACGAGCTGGAAACCACTACCCACTAGGGCCAGGCACATTGGCAAAGGCGTTCTATAAAATGTGCTAGCACCACACCAGGGGGCATACAGATATAACACACACACATACACACACACACACACACACACACACACACACACACACACACACACCTAGTCCATACCCAGGGCCGTGACATACACCACAGCACCAGGCACAGCTCTCCGCCCCTGCACTGCCCTGCTGGAGAGCCTATGAGGTTACAGCCAGAAACATCAAGTCTCTGGCTCTCTATTTAACTTTCAGACAAGCATACATTTCACTCCACAGTCTTACAACCAAATGGAACCTAATGTATACAATAGTCCCACAATCTGTCCAACAACATGAGAGCAGGGAGGACAGGGATGGAGGACCGTGGAGGGGAGCAAACGTCATGTTACCCCGTGAAGAGGGTCCGCTAGTGGCTTCTTAAAGGACCAGATGCTATCTGTACTACAACACCCGTGGGAGGGGCAGCCTTCCATGTTTGGATATCCTGAATCCCTTCTTGCTCACTGAGAAACATCATTGATGCTGATTTCATAGGCAAATGCTAGAAAGATGTTCTGATGTCGCTGCTAGGTGAGTCTGACCAGGTGCTGTGGCCCAGCCTGACATTCCAATGACAATGCCTTCCTGTTCCTAGCAGTAGTGTCCCCAGCAGTGAAGATGACAATACGGGCTTCACTAACCTGTATCCAGAATGCCCATTGAAATCCCAAAGACAGACATCATGACAACCAGTAAGACTGCTGTCTTGCAGAAAGGAGTAAGATAAAGACCAACTGTGGTGGCAGAAAGGGACACCCCTGGAAAGAAACATTAGAAGGTCGGCTAAAACAGCTCTGTTTTGGGTAACAAAGTATTTACTTATTCATCAGCAATAAAGCATTTTTGTTTCCATAGGAGTTTTAATATATTAATCGAATTGTCTTTACTTATGCCAATTTATTGAAAAAGGCGTGCTAACAGCTCTGCCCTCTCTCCCAGGGTCAGGATCTGAGAGGATCAACCTGTGCTCAACTCTGACAAGGGCAATAGGCCTGGGTGCAGGCTACACCATCTCCCTGTTTCTTCATCTTCAACCCCAAGTCCAGAGAGCCTGGCCAGGTTCCAGGAGTTATTCTGACCCCTGTGGTCCCAGAAGCCCTGCCGTACCCCCAGATAAGCAGAGCTTCAAGGTCAGCCAGTGTGTCAGCCTGGAGCAGAGCCGACAGTAAACGCCAGCATTGCACAGGGTTATCAACACTCACTCCCAAGGGTCAAGCAAGTTTACAGTGGGATCAGTACAGACTCCCTCCTGCTGCCAAAGCGGAAAGAGGAACTCAGCTCCAGCTGCCAGGCGGAGGCCAGCACAGTGCCTGTCGCAGGTATCAACAATCTTCCATAGTTAGATCTTAGCTGTAAACTTGTTGACAGAAACAAGGAAGTAAAAAGGCAGTGTTTGCTTACCCAAAAGTAAAAAGTGATTAATGCACCCAAAAAGAACTCCTCCGATCATAGAGCCACCTAAGTATCCAGAGGCCCGGCCCACAAAGATGAAAGACAGGCTGCTGATGTTCCGGTTCACATTTCTTGCCAAATCTGGAAAGGTGGGTCCCAGTATAGCAACACTCAGTCCCTACAGTTAAAAAGAGGAGAGCTTTACTCGTCGCTGAAACACGCCCAAGAAGCAGCTTTTGGATGGTAACAAAACCACAGGCGGGAGGTTACAATCTACCATAAGGGTCTTCAGAGGACAGTAAGTCAAACCTAAGGAAACACATACATTATAGCAGGAGAGCTACACACTCCCAACGGCTTTTTATTTGAAACCCTTGTTATTTTTTTAAAGTTTTTGCTTTGTTTTGGAGATCCTAACATCATAGTCCTCCTGTCTCAGTCTGCAAATATTGGTACTACCAGTGTGTTCCAACACACATAACTTAAAAAAAACTATTTTTCTTTTGTTTCAACTGTTCAGTATTGAACAATACCCTAAAAGGCCATTATGTATTAACAGTTAGTATGTAACAAACTAGGGGCTAAGGAGATGGCTCAGTCAGTGACGTGCCTGCTGCACCAACAAGAGGACCTGGGTTTGGAACTCCATCATCACATAAAAAAAAAAAACAGTGCCTTAGGTGGGGTTCATTGCTACAATGAAACACCATGACTGGCAAGCAAGTTGGGGAGGAAAGGGCATAAGATTTACACCTCCATACTGTAGTCCATCATTGAAAGAATCCAGGATAGGGCAGGACCCTGGAGGCAGGAGCTGATGCAGTGGCCATGGAGGGCTGCTGCTTACTGGCTTGCTCAGCTTACCTTCTTATAGAACTCAGAACCACCAGCCAAGGATGGCACCACCCACAATGGGCTGGGCCCTCCCCCATAAATCACTAATTAAGAAAATGCCTTACAGCCAAATCTTATGGAGGCGTTTTCTCAATTGAAGTTTCTTCCTTTCAGAGAATTCTAATTGTGTCAACTTGACATAAAACTAGCCAGCACGGGCTGGACAGATAGCTCAGAGGTTAAGAGCACTGACTGTTCTTCCAGAGGTTCTGAGTTCAATTCCCAGCAACCACATGATGGGTCACAACCATCTGTAATGAGATCTGGTGCCCTCTTCTGGCCTGCAGGGACACATGCAAGTAAAATGCTGTATATATAATTAATAAATAAATCTTAAAAAAACACAGAAATATATATATATGTATGTGTGTATATATATATATATAAATATATATATAGAAGAGGAACACACAACCAGAGCTGCAAGTGTAATCTCACAGAAATACNATATATCCAGCACACACAGGCACAGCAGCATGTCTAGAATCCCAGGAACCCCTGTGGCTCACTAGTCTGGCTGAGCTGGTAAGCTTCGGGCTCAATGAGACCCTGTCAAACAATAAGGAGGACAGCAGTTAAGGACGCCACCTCTGGCCTCTACACACAAACCCAATGAACCAAAATAAAAAAAATATAATGAACTATTTTTAAAATATATTCTTATATTTTCAAATATAATATATGCTTAAGTATAGAAATTTAATTGCTAGAATTTTAAAGTATGAAACACCAAATTATTATTCTTTTACATTAAGATGCCAATATTTCTGGCACACATGGAGTCCTTCCTTTAAATTGCGTATGCATATATCTATACCTAATATGGCCAATAAGCAATTTGAATGTTCCTATGTCTACAGTTTTCCTCAAATTCCAAAGCTATGGGGAAATATATGGACTATAAAACTTTCTTAGCAAAAATACACATAACATGGACAGAATGATTTTTACAATAAGATGTTATATAATGTACTAGCAAGAACTAAGGTTACGCTTCCACTTCAGGTGAAATTCCCAAAATGTTTCTAAGGTGTGTGAATTTTAAGAACCACAGACTGTGGGCAGAGGATACAGCTGAGGAAAAGCCTGGCATACTTGAAGCCCTTGGGTCAATCCTCAGTCTGCATATAAATAAATTTAAAAAATGGTTGTGTTGCGCTGTTCTGCTATAAACCAAGCAGCAGCAAGCCAGGGCTAAGGACCAGGTACCTACAGGCCTGCGGCCTGTGCAGGCTCTCATCAAACTTCTTTAAAGCACTCACAAGACCAGGCACACAGTGAGGGTCTCTATCACCTGCAGCATCTTCTTCCTTCCCTGCATCCCATCGAAGTCTAAAGACAACTGAGACTCAGACTGAGATGCCAAGTTACCGGAAGCGACTCTCGTCAAAGGCTTAGCCCTCATAACACTCAAGTCAGAAATTATCAAGTTTAGGCTGGTGGTCCGTCCACAGCTTCAAGTCCAGCACTCAGGAGGCAGAGGCGGGTGGATCTCTAGGAATTCGAGGCCATCCTGATCGACACAGTGAGTTCCAGAGTAGCCAAGGCTACATAGTGAGACCCTCTGTCTGTGAGTTAGAGGCCAATGGGGTCTATATAGCGAGTTCCAAGCCAAGTAGCTGGAGCTACAGAAAGAGACACTGTCTTAAAAGGTGTTTCTGTTCTTGTACATGAATGAAGAAAATCGTTTAAGGATCTTATGGCTTGATTTAAACAGGGCTGAGAACAGGATAAGAAACAGGTTCTTTATGCTATCACTTAACCAAAAAAGCCACTTTCTTCTCTGGGTTTATTTTCCCACCCGCAAAATAAAGCGGCTGGTAGGATTTGGTCAGGGCTCCAAAGAGGCAATTTCTCAAAGCTTTTCTGTGGTCGATTTGGAGCTTCAGTGGGTAGGAGCAAAAGAGAGCTGGTAAAGGCCTGGGCTCCCCTCCTATATCTCCCCTTTGCCCCAAGAAAGTTGGTTTGCTCATGTTGGAAAACATATTTTTAATTTGAGTCTGACAATAACCCTCCTCTAATAACGATTAGAGTTCTGCCCACTTTTTCCAGATGACAAAACTGAGACCCAAGGGATTAACCAAGGCACCCAAAGGTCACGCAAGGTACGGGGCACTGAGGAGACCACGTTCCCTGCAGGACGCTGCTTGCTCCAGCCTTGGCCAGAGAGGGTTTCAAACCCAGCTCTCACCAGCCCCAGGAAGGCGGCACACAGCACCAAGGTGGTGAACCAGCGCAGCACGTTCTCGGCACGGCTTTTCCGCCCGGAGGCCACAGCTTCGGACTCATTCTCTGGCCCCGGATCGGCCCGGAGGAGCCGCTGCCCTCCGGCCTCACGGAACTCCAGCTCCAACTCCAGCGTGGCGGCTCCACGACGCTCTCTACCTGCCGAGCTCCGTGCACCCCAGCCTCGGGCGTGCAGGGCTGTGCCCGGCCCCGCCCAGGAGCCCCAGAGTCTCCCGGGGTAACAACCCCGGGACCAGCCCCAGGGAGCGTGACGCCGGACCGAGCCTTCCCACCCGGCAGGTGCGGCTCCAGGGCACCGCCCTCCGGATCGCAGGGCGTCTGCGCGGATTACGTTGCGGAAATGAGGCGTCTAGTCAACCAGGAGCTGTCTTCAAACCGGAAGTTAAGCTGGTTGCCTTGGTGATCGGAGTTCCTGGACCAGGTGAGGTGTCCTACTAAACTGAGCCCGGGAGTTTTGCTCCTGGGGCACGCTAGGCAGAAGAAGTAGGATTTGCAGCCTGGCACAAGACGAACCAAAGGGTAAGAAGTCACAAAACTTAGGAAGAAAACCCGCCAAGAACTGCAAGATGGTAACTTCCTCAGACTTCGGGATCACCTGGAAACCCTAAGGGTTTATTGCACTCTGGTCTTTACAGGCTTTCCAAAACCTTTGCCCTTGCTCCTTGAACGTACGAGAGTGTTCAAAGGCAGCTTCTTACTCCACGGCTATTGACCCTCACGTGTAAACCCACACATTAAGTATCTGTTAATTTACAAAACACTCAGAATCCCACGTGATCCCGTCTAGGAATAGGAATATTAAGAGTAACAACTCTCCAAAGGCCAGACAACAAACCACTGGCCTTTTCCCGAAGAGTCAAACAATAGCTCAGGAAAGAAATCCTGGTCAAAACGAGCTGCAAGCACTTGCCTGCCCTAGTTCTTACAGACATTGTTAGGAGTGGAGCTGGGTATGAGTTTGTTTGCCAAGTGGCTATGCCAGCTGAAAAAGAAAGATCTTGTACATGACTACAGATTTGGTTCTTGTTTAAACACAGGGACCATGGCCTCAAATGCTACGATACTTTTCTGTATCTGACTTTCTTGTTTACTTATATGTCTGTCTCCAATACCCACTCCACTTAGACTCTCAAGCTACTACAAAACTTCATTACCTGCAAACCAACGTTCCTCCTTAATTTACATGGTCATTAACTTCTCTATTTGTTTCAGAACTATCCCTTAAATTGGTTTCCAACTCCTCCTCTCCATTCTAACTATCTTAACGATTGTTTTCATTTCTCATGTAGAATATTTCCAAAGTTTTCTGATTGGGCTCCAAAAGTGTGTGTCTTGAAATTTTCAGTGGGACACTGAAATTTAGAACACAAAAATGATTAAATAAAGGCATTTAATTATTCTGCATGCTACAATACCAACATACTCTTTGCTTCTGCCGTGTTTGTTTTAGAGTGTCCTAGGTTTTAATGGTGGCTAATTGGGCAAATCGGTAACATTTCAGTGATTCTGAGACCTGTTAACTATTTCAGATGGGCTGGCCAGAGGAAGTCAGAAATCCTCCTTGTCTCCACAGCTTGCCATTAATGCTGCACCACTCCAAATGAACAGCGGCTGTCTATAGGAATGTTAGCTGTTCTGTGTTTCGCCAAATGACATGCTCTGGTTAAAACTCTGGTTCAGCCCTCTGAGCAGATGGAATGCCAAGCGAATGAGCACATTGACTTATGTTAAGACAGGTAGTTTAACTACATATCCTTCCTGAAAATGCCCCGTCCACCTCCTGAATAAAAACTGTAAGTAAATACAACCATCAATAAATACAATACTGCCCATTTCTCCTAGGTGAGGAAAACAAAAATAGCTATTAGGAGCAAAAGGACACTAAAGAAAAGGTACTCTAAAACCTACCACTGAAAAAGGCTCTCTAGTTAGAGAACTCTAGGTAACAAAGTGTGGGGATTAGGTACCACTGGATTGCAAGGATGACTGTCCAACTTATGGCCTAGAGATTTTGCACAAATATCTATTGTCTTCCATTTTGCTTCTTTGTAGGTAATATTGGGGTGGTGTGAGGGCTGGTCATTGTATTATGAATCTGTTTTCTTGATAGTCTTCTATGATGATTTGATTTCCTCCAGGGCTTCTTGCCTCGAATTGTATTTATGTTTTTATTCTAGGCAAGGCTTGCTTTTGTCTATTGTTATCTCAACTGGGGCAACTGATTTTAGTCATCCTACGTCTGTTTTTCGTTCTTTTGTTTGTTTTTGTGTTTTTTTCAAGACCTGCTTTCTCTGTATAGCCCTGGCTGTTCTGTAACTCACTCTGTAGACCAGGCTGACCTCAAACTCACAGAGATCCACCTGCCTCTGCCTCCCCAGTGCTGGGATTAAAGGACACCATCACCTAGCAACATCTGTTTTTGTTGTTTTTGAGGGCTTTTTTTTTTTTTTTTGCACAAATTCTCCTTGTGAAAGAAGGCTGTCGGTTTTCTTTCCTTATTTGACCCCTTCCCAAGTTGCATGGAACAAATTTGGGGACTGGAGCTTCTCAGTGTCTCTAAGTTAATGATCCTATTCCCTTTTGGGAGATGGATATGTGAACATTTTGTTTCCAAAGATTCATGTTCTAACAAATGGACAGGGGCACAATTTACCAGGAGAAAGTAGTGTTGCCCAGTTTCTCCCAATATAAATTTTATACATGTGGTGGTTTGAATGAAAATGACTCCTATAGGCTCACAGGGAGTGGCACTATTTGAAAGGATTCGTGTATGTGGCCTTGTTGAAGGAAGTGTGTCACTGGGGGTGAGCTAGGGGGTTTTGGTTGCTCAAGCCAGGCCCGGTGCTCTCTCTCTTCCTGCTGCCTGCTGACCTGGATGTAGAACTCTCAACTCCTCCTGTTCTATGTCTTTCATAGAGCACTGTGCCACAGTGCTCACCATTATGAAGATAATGGACTGAACCTCTGAAACTGTAAGCCAGCCCCAATTAATTGCTTTCTTTTTATAAGAGTTGCAATGGTCATGGTGTCCCTTCCCAGCAATAAAACACTAAGACAGTAGATTTGACTTACAGGCAGTATGGGTACATTGGAATCTCCCACCATTTGAATTTTATTTTTATTCTGGGTGAGATTTTAAACATGGTGGGGCGCAAAACAGAGTAGCTCAAGTTTCTGCCGGGGTCTTTGTTTCCTGTTGGTTAATAATTATCTCTATTTCTCCTAACATATTAGCAGTGGAAAACTTCCTTATTCCCCAGAGCAGCCCTGTTATTGTCTGCCTTTTTTTCTTTCAAAGTTTCTTTCAGAGGCTGCTGCCCCTGTAAGAGAACACCTATTTTACTTGCAGTTTCTTTCGTCTTCTTTCAAGATGGAATGAATTAGATTTCTTTCCCTGTGAGCTTAACTGTCCTTGTAAGCTAATAATCTGAATCTTGCTGCCTTTTCCTTTGTTATAATAGTTCTAGAAATTGCTGAAGTGCCAAGGTCTGATGTGGGAGGTGATGTATGCTGTGAATATGCTTTGTTGCCATTGGTTAATAAAGAAGCTGCTTTCGGCCAATGGCTTAACAGAGTAAAGCCAGGCTGAAGAGATAATGAGACAGAGTAGGCGGAGTCAGGAGAAGCCATGTAGCCACTGCAGTAGACAGACACCTACTCTGGATCCCACTGTGTTGAAATATGAGCGGCGGGGCTGTGTCCCCAGCACCCCGGCCGCTTAGCTAGCTTATGCCCTGAAATAACAACACACAAACTGTTTCATTTAAACACTGCTTGGCCCATGAACTCTAGCCCTTACAGGCTAATTCTCACACCTGGACTAGCCCATTTCTAATGAGGTATGTAAGCACCCCAAGGTACGCTTACCGGGAAGATTCTAGCCTCCGTCCATCCTGGGTAGGAGCTGTAGGGGAGAGCAGAGCCTGGCGTCTCTGCTCCAGAGAGCAGAGCTGTCGGGTCTACCCAGGAGCAGAGCAGAGTCTGACCTCACTTCCTCTTCCGCCCAGAATTCTATTCTGTTTACTCCTCCCATCTATGTTCTAAGCTATGAGGCCAAGCAGTTGGTTTATTATAATTAACCAATGACCTTCCTCCATCACCACTGGAACCTTGCCGGTAAGCCACAGCCATGTGGCAATACACAGATTAGCAGAAGTGGGTTAGTTTAACATATAAGAGCTAGCCAGAAATACACTTAAGCTATTAGCCAAACAGTATTGCAATTTCTACAGATTTCTGTGTGATTATTTCAGGAGTCTGGGTGGCCGGGAAATGAACAAGAAGCCTCCGGCAACAAAGGTCTTCTGTGGGAAGGGAGACCCATGTTTGTATCACTGTGCTTGACTAAATGGTCAAATTTTCTAGCCTTTCGATAACGCAGAATTGAATAACCATCACTTCCATCACCTCCGAGTTCTAAGAGTTCCTGGGTGGTTTGCAAATGTGACACAGAGGTTAGCCACAGTTCTTCTGGCTTACTGTACAGCTGTATTTTGGACCCATCAGTAATCTGTGGAAATAATGTTGGTTACAGTAGAGGCAGTTTTCTAATTGATGGGAGGCGTTCTTAGCATCATCAGTCCTGTTTTTATCAGTCTGTAAGGGGATCTCTCCATTCTCCAAGCAAAACCAAGAGAGTGAAAGACGCCCTTGGACTGCAGAAAGCAGGTAGGACTGATCAAGTTTTCCCTCTTTCCCCCTCCCTCCTCCTCTTCCCCCTCTATCTTTCCTGACAACCAAGGGACAATCCCTCTGCTTCCTGGTGAGAATATCTTCCCCTGGAGGATTCTGCCATGCTGCTCTGCTTACCACAAGCCCAGAACAGCCAGGCCAAGCAACTCTGGACTGAAACTTCTGAGCTCATGACCAAAATAAACCTTTCTTCCTATAAATCTATTACCTCACGTATTTGGCAAATCTGGAAAGTTTGAGAGAACTTTGATGTGCCAAAATAAGACATGAAAGAGACTGGAAGATGTATGGAAAAGGTAGGCTAGGTCTACACTGTGGAGAGCTTTGTGTGCCATACCAAAAGGTTTGGATTGGCCAGTACACATCTACTAGCAAGACAAGATTAACAAAATAGAAAATGTTTTCTAGATGTGTCAGCTTAAAAAGTCATCTTTTTGTTCTGGCTCAGTTTTTGAGTCAGAGTCAGAATTCCTAACTCTCCTGTTCCTACCTCCCGCAAACTAGGATTACAGACATGCACACAATACAGTCAGTTTTACTTGTACAGTTATTTCTAAAATCGGGTTTCCTATCTGTTAAAAGTTTAATTACAAGTTTGCTTTAAAGATACATTTGACTTAATGTAAGCATTTAGGATTAGGCAGCATCTCATTCTGTAAAATAGGATTGTCCCTCAGCTGAGCTGAACAGAGAGGTACTTGACTTTGTATGCAGAAGAACTGATAAATCAGAAATGGAAAGAAAAACAGATGAATCCATAAAAAGTTACTTTTCTTGTCTGGTAGGGTGGTATATACCTGTAATCACAGCCCTTGGAAGGTAGAGGCAAGATCAGTAGTAGAAGGCCAGCCTTAGCTACAGTAGTAAGCTCAAGGCCAGCCTGGGCAACAAGGGACCCTGTCTGAAAAGAAAACTCTGTGATGTGTGATGTCCCAGAAGTATATGTGTTCCTTTTATTGGTTAATGAATAAAGCTGCTTTGACCTATGGCAGGGAAGAATATAACCAGTCTGGAAGAGATAGAGAGAGAGAGTGGGCAGTGTTAAGGAGACTCCATGTAACTGCCAAAGATGAAAGACTCCAGCCAGAACCTTAGATAAGCCACAGCCTCGTGGCAATACACAGATTAATAAAATGGCTTAATTTAAGATGTAAGAGTTAGTTAATAAGAAGCCCGAACCATTGGCCAAACAGTGTTGCAATTAATATAGTTTCTGTGTGATTATTTGTGTCCAGGCAGCCTGGAAACAGTCTCCGTTTACAGATGACGCCCAGTGCTCAGCAATGTACACCCACATGAAGCCTAAGAAAGTTTAAAAACTTCCTAGATCCACAAAACATGGGAGCCAAGCACTTGTCGGTAGCCACATTTTTTTCAGATAGGCTCTGTTTGCTGGTCACAAGCAGAGGTGACTCCTTTAAGAGAAGGCTTCCTGACTCAGCATAAGCAGCAAAAACAGCATAGCTTCTTTAAAGTAAGGCTTCCTGATCCTTGCTGGTAGCAGGAATGGCGCTGGCTCTTTTGGGAGGTCCTGCTCTTAAATGGGGTCTGTGAGCAGCATGCTACGTCCTGAGCAGCATGCTCCGTGTTGCTTAACAGCAACATAGACCTGCTGCGTCCCTGGAGCTGGGGCAGTGAGCGTGACTCACAGAGGCGGTGAACATACCACTGCCATGTTGGACTGGAAGCCAACAGGAAGGGGTGCAGAGTTGGTCCTAGCAGCACCCACTTAGCATTTAGAAGACAAATGTGCTCCTGGTCAGAAAATGATTACAGATGCACAATAAAGATAGATTCAGGCAGAAATAAACCTCTGAAGGGTGATCGTGTGTTTAAAGCATATGTGTAGACTTGGGAGAAAGAAGAAAAGAGTGTAGACAGTTAAAAATTAAAACAGAGTCTTTAAAGAGACATAAAAAGTAGTATAAAAGAATATGGACAGTCATAGAAGAAAGGAGTAAAGAAAAATAAGCCTTATAAAGATGAAAAATACACAAAGAGTCTGGATTGTGTATATTATTCTGTTATCTTTGGATTTTTTGACTGAATGAGATAACTAGAGAGAGACATTTCATTGTACAGGCTGCTAAGCTAAACCAACTTAAAGGTATCATGACTTCAAAATTTGAGGCTAAGGATATGTTACTTTGGAAAAGAGGTTCTGCTTTTGTTTCCACAAAGGATGAGAACCTTTGATTCCTTCTAGGCTAATGTGGTTTGGGGAAGCAAGACCCCCTGAAAGTGTTCTGTGAACCCTAAATACTTTGCCTAACAAACAGCAGGAAGCAGTTTGGAGAAAACAATGCCCAAATTCCCAAAATGATTGTTTATAAATATTTGTTTTCATGTAAAGGGGGATATGATATAGAGATGAATACTTTGCATTGGTATGGCTCTTAATCTATTGATACAAAGTTATGGTTGATTTTGTTACACTGTGTATATGTATATTTTACTCTTGTTTAGGTATTGTGTTTTTTTAATTTGATTTTTTGAGATAGGGTTTCTCTGTGCTTTGGAGCCTGTCCTAGAACTAACTCTTGTAGATTGTCCAGCTCATTTAAAAATGTAATGTATAATTAAGAAATAAAGATTAATAGTCATTTATATTAGTTAAACTTGTAGTCATGTTAGTTAGGTTTTCTAGATATACAGAGATATATTTCAGTTAGATAATCTTTAACACTTCAAAGACCTATGGAATATGGCATTTAAAATGTTTTAAGAACTTAGACGGGGCAGGCAGGAGGTCCTTTGTTTCAATAGCCTGCCTGCAGCGAGCAAGGTAGGTGCTTTGTTTACGAGCTACCCAACCAGCATGGAGAACTGATTTCAGCACCAGGAGAGCCATAAGTGGGGTGAGTTTCTGACCCACGGCAGCAGCCTGGGGTCCTGGAACTCAGGCGATCCTCATCCCCCCTATACTTTCTGGCCTCCCTGCAGGTCCTATTTCCCCCCCCCAATACTGCCTCTCTCTTCCTATCCCACCCAGCTTGCATCCAGAACCCTCACCCTTCTGCCTCTCTTCCCTCTTTGGGCACATAACTTCTCCCAGCTCAGCCTGTCTGGGCTCTGGGACCGAATCCTTTGGGCAACCTAGCAGGCAGGCAGGAGGTCCTTTGTTTCAATAGCCTGCCTGCAGCAAGCAAGGTAGGTGCTTTGTTTACTAGCTACCCAACCAGCACGGAGATCTGATCTCGGCACCAGGAGAGCCATCATTGGGAGCTACCCAAGCAGCAAGGAGATCTGATCTTGGCACCAGGAAAGACATCACTGGGGCACCAGGAGAGCCATCACTGGGGACTGCCATCACTGGGAAGGTACATCAGTAGGCAAGGAGACCTGATCCTGTAAAAGAAGATCCATAGGGGAGCATTCAGAGGAAGAGATAGGCAGGCGCCAAAGCAGGAATTCACCCAACAATCTCAAAAACAACATGAAACCACCAGAACCCAGCGACCTCACAACATGTGGACATGAACACCTTAATCAAGATGAAATAGAAAAAATTGACTTTATGAAAGTGTTTGATGCCCTTAAACAGCATGTAAATAATGCCCTTAAAGAAATGGATGAGAAGTATAACAGAAAGTTTGAAAAATTGAATAAATCAGTGAATGATACCCTTGGAAACCAAGGAAAAACAATCAAACAGATAATGGAAACAGTTCAAGACTTGAAAACTGAAATGGAGGCAAAGAAGAAAACACAAAC